TCTTTTCAATTGTTGTCTAGTATACTAAAGCTGTACTATTTTCCTATTGATAAGCATGGAGTTATTTTCAATTTTTCACCAATATAAATGATGCTGCAAATTTCCTCAAGCACAGGGACAGCTGTTTGGGTTGCTACCAAGATGGGGAAGTGCTAGGTCATGGGTGTAATGATTAAATCTTAATAGATACAACTAAATTTCCTCCAAGATAATTACATAGTTTATAAAACTATACCAAACTGATACTTCAAGTTTTTGCCAATTTAATGGCTAGTTTTTAATATGCATTTCCCTTATTACAATAAAAGTCATATAATACTTTCTGGACTGGTAATTAAATGATAGTCACTTAAATAAAGCATGACAACATAAAACTGTGCATATGCAGTAAGCAGATTATTTTATTTAAAAATGCACAGCTGTACATTTCCTCTCCCATCTTTCAACACAGGAATAAAGCCTTTCCTTTAAGTAAGCAGCCACTGAGCAGCTCCTGACACACTTCCTGCATTAACCACACCCTAAGATCCCCTGGTTGCGTTTCTTAGGTGAAGTGAGAATGTAAAGACCTTGTGAAATAATCTGAGTGCAGGGCTTCCTTTAATTGAACAGCAAGCTTTTAGTCATGTGCCTTCATCAAGTCTTTCCAAAACATTTAATTTAATTTTCACTGAAACAGCTCTTTCCACACTTGTATTTCATCGGCTTACATATTATTTAACTAAATTACATAATTACAATGACATTCAGCCAGTATAAACAGGTTTGGGAACCATTGCACTGGCTCTTGGAAAACACACAATTAACTGAGGGAGCAAAGCACAAAGGTTGTGGTGAGTAGCCCAACATCCTCTGGTGGGCCTGCGTGGTGGGCAGACAAGTCTTGAATACAGCGAGTAGGTTAAGGACACATCTGGACACTAGGGCTGGGAAGCATCTTCTTATATACCTATTGTCCAACATCCTTTACTACGAATCATTTATTCATTTCATTTCTCTATTTTTCTACTAGATTGTCTTGTTCTTAATTATTCACAAATGTTCTTTACAAATCCCAGATATTAATCCTTTGCCTTTCATATATCATAAATATTTTTTCCCCAGGCTGGTGCCTATTAACTACTCTGCTGTTTTATAGCAGAGGCTAATTAGATCTAATAAAATCAACTCCTTTTTTCTTTATATCTTTTGCTTTCTGGGTCTTGTTTAAGAAAGACTCCCTTTGCTGAGATTCTCATTGGATTCTCTGTTTCCTTCTAAAACTTCAATCATTTTGGGGCCTCCCTGGTGGTGCAGGCAGTTGAGCACTGCACTGTGAAGCTGTCCACAGCCTCTGCGGTGCGGGTTAGATCCTGGCCGGCCAGGGAGAATCCCACATGGTGAAGTGGACCTCTCCTGTCTGGCCCGCTGCTCCCCTCAGCAGTGTGTTTCATCAGTCTGCCTGTTCTGTTCCCCACTCTGTCTCCAGTGAATCCTCTCAACCTCCCGCGCATCTGGCCTGTACCCCGGTTCTTGTATAAAAATAAATAAATCTTAAAAAAAAAAACCCTTCAATCATTTTGTTGTTTTCAGATTCCAGAAGAGGAACTTGAAATTCAGCAGTTTTAGGTACTTGACTGAAATGACAAAGCTAGAAATGATGAAGCTGGGATTTGCATTAACGTATATCTATGTATAATCTCCAAAGCCAATGCAACTGCTGCATGCCACCTTCCCGGGAGAAGTGGACTAACAGATATTGAGCAATGAAGAAAATTAGCATAAACACACATTTTTGTATGGAGAACATAAATGGCCGATGTATAATGAATCATCATCCGCCTCAGAAACCAGTAGTGATTTCCATCCACAGAAACTGTGTCAAAGGTCCAAGTGACTGGAGATCTAAATACTCATAGAGCAACCACTAGGTGCCATGTGCTTGGAATTTAAGAGATAGATTTTAACCTCCAAGGTCTAAAAGAGGAAGGTACATTAAACAAATCACTCACAAACAGTTATTCTCAGTGGCACTGAGAGCTACAAAGAACACAAAGGTAAACAGAGCTAAAAAAAAAGGAGAACTAGCTCAGTTGGTGAGGTCTGGAGAGGCTTCCCTCAGGGAGTGACATTTAGCCTGTGGTCCCAAGGTTGAGTAAGAGGAAACCAGGCAAAAAGGAGCAGTAGAGTGTGGAGGGGGAAGACGTATTCCAGGAACTAGACAGCAAGTGCTAAGGGGCTCAGTGTGCAAGTCCAGGCCTTAGGAAAGCTGAGGAACCACTCACCAGATAACATAAAGAATAACAGAAAGAAACACTGGTGCTATCATTCTGTGTTCTTGCCTTTTGTTCTAGATGAAAATGCTTCTCTTTCATTAGATGCTTATGCAGCAGACACTACACTCAAAGTGTCACAATGATCATCCCATGGAATCCTCACACCCACACCACAAGGTGCTTTCCCCCTACGGATGGACAAAGGCAGAGAAGCAAAGAAACTTGGTTCTGCAGTGAGCAGGTGGCAGTTTCTGCCTCCAGTTTCTGCCTTCAAGGTACCTCCAGTGCCTTGCACCTGCTCATCACATTCCTTCAAAAAAAAGTCTTAAAAATACTTCGACCTATATCTTAACATCATCCTTTGAAACATAAGACCTTCTTGACTCTGAACTTATATTAATGGATGTAAAATGAAACATTATTAAATGCATTTCATCCACCTTCCAATGGAAACTTCACATTTCGAAGTCTGTTCATTTTCTCAAACAACATGCACGGTCAGTACTTGATTATGCATCCCAAGGAGGGGGGAGGTGACAAACATAACATACTACCAGATGCCTGAAAATCATTTAATTTTGGAAAGTCATTTAGAAATCTCAGCATCAAAGATAACCATTTATTCACCATTCTCCGTGCATTCCTTTACATAAATTGTTCACAGCCTGAGCTCTGGCCGGCTGGCAGAGTAAAGGAGGTTGGGGCTGTCACAGCTGTTTCACCAGTAAGTTATACCAGAATTTTTTTCTCTCTCTATTTAGTCTTCACCGAAAAGCAGTAGTGCCAATTCTGGCCACATTGTAGAAGAAGAATTCACTGGCACCAAGGAGTGAATGGTTATGAAGCAGAGAGAAGGAAAAAGTTGTGTTGGTCCTAAGTATGGTAAGAGCACATTAAGGTAAAACTGACAAGCTCTAAGATAAAAATTATTCCCTTAATTATTCCAAGCAAAATAAGTCAGAAGGAAAAGGATAAATATCAGGTGGTTTCACTAATATGTGGAATATAGAGAAATCAAATGAAAGGTCAGGAAAAAGACAAAGCTTGCCAGCTGACCATAGATCTGAGGCATCCAGCAGGGGAGGAGAGGGGGAGGGGCCAAAACAGGGGCAGGAAGAGCACAGGGGACTCTGGTGATGGGTCTCGGGTGCTGTGGTGGGGGGAGAACCACAGGGACTACACCGGAGGGGAGAAATCAAATACTAAACAAAAATGAACAACAGTATAAGAAAATAAATAATCTAATGTAATAAAAAATATCATTCCCTTAATATTTCAGATGCAAGCACGTAAAGTGGACTTGGGCACTAGTCATTAGATCCAAGGAAAAGCTGCTATCAAACGGGTCACCTGCGTCACCTGAGCCCCTGGTGGACAGATTATCATTAAAGATGAGATTTGTAACTGAAGTTGAAATTTCATCAAGCAAGGACTGATTTTCAGAAAACCAAGTAGAAAAAAGACTACAATGCTCAACTACTTATCTATCAAAGTTTAAAAAAAAAATTCAGGTAAAAAGTCTGATAATTATATTAGGTTCCAGTGTTTAATCATAGATACCTTTTCCTTGATTGAAGTGTTAATGTTAAAATACACCAGAGGTTTGATGAATTCCTGTGACTTCAGTGACACCTTAGAGTCAAAATTTAGGAATTGAACTCTTATTACAGAGAGGATTTTCGCTTCTTCAAAATGACCTGACATATTCAGTTACTGATACTTTAGTGTTGTGAGTTGTAGATTGGAGGTTCAGAAAGAATAGAGGAGAAAGAGTTCGTCTATTATGTTCATTAGTGCATCATGGAAAGTGACAGCCTTAAATATGCATGAGCACAGCTTAGATGCTGCTGTAGCAGAAATCATAAAAATAAAACAAAGCACAAGGGAAAAGAAAGTTAAAGTCAAGAGGAAGTATTTTATGACACTACAGGCTTCTTAAAATCACAGTCACTCAAATATGAAAAAACAGCAAATGATCTCAAAACAAATCCAAAAACAATATTGCTCCAACACAACTGAATAAATATATATTCTTTTAAATTGTCAACCTCTTTCAAGAAATCAGTTAATGTGATAGTTAGGTGTTTTATAGAAATAGAATATTCAGATGAAGTATTAATATTAAAAAATAGCAGGTATGACACCACTCCGTGATACTTAAAGTCCATGAAGCAAAATTCCATTTATGAACAGGTATATCGATTGATATTTTAAAAAGCATTTATCTTTCTATTTCAGATCTCCACAGTTGTCACATTAACTCAAAATCCACAATACCTTTTACATTAAAATGTAAAATACCAACTGTCCTGCTAGAGATCAGTCTTAAAAGTATATTGTTTTCCCTTGAAGGGCAACTTCCCCCACATTACATATGCAGAATAGTGAAACTTAGCCATTCATCCTGACTTGGATACACAAGTTAAAGGAGGTGCAGAAGAAAAATAACGGCCTTCCCCATAAATCCCAATTCTACACATGGTTATTCCTTTAAATTTGACCACTTTAAAACATCAACTTGCTATATTTTCCCTGCAGCATTTTCTATCAAGATTAAAGAAGGGCTTATTCAGGAACAAACAGGATGCAGGAATAATGGTGCAGCTTCCAGGCAAGCTATAAATAGTGACAGCATTTTCAAGAAATCGTGTGCCAGAGTGTAAGTTACAGTTTGAACATGCAGGGAAGATTTTATTACAATGAAGTCACCAAAATTCATTGTTATATGAGAAATTCGACTCTTACCAAGTTTTCTTGGTTCCTGGCTGCTATTTTCTGCTCCTCTTCTGCCCCATTTTTCATGTATTTGACCTCTTCCACCGGTTTGATTCTATACTCATCTGAGGACCAAAAAAAATGAAAGATGTTTTATAACTTTTTTTCAAGTAGAAAAGTGTCAGTGAGGAAAAGCCCAATTGTGTAATTTGACAGAACCTCTTCCCTGTAGCCTTTATATGTGGCTCATTTCAAACGACATGGAAGAAGCTCAGTCAGGTATCTTGGGTCTTTTTTGAGGTGCTCTCCACTGTCTAGTAGGGAAAAGCTCAGCACTATGAAGCCAGCCAATCAAAGAGGCACCACTGGCCCTTTCACAGAGAGCAAAAGTGTCAGAGGAAACAGAGGTTATTCCATCTCTACAGATTATTTGGGACACACACACACACACACACAGGTCCTGGGGAGATTTTTATCTACGAGAATATTCGTTTAAAAGGCCAATGGTAACAATTTTCAGAGTATAGTCACACCTTAATTTTTCTCTTTCAGAATAACAAAGTACTGTTTAAGGCTAATTTAACTGATAAACAAACAGATTCCAATAATTGGAAATAGAAGTTTTGTTATTTGTTATCCCCATGTTAAATGAGGAGCAGTCTGCAATTATTTCCTAAGATACACACTAACTTTAACTTCTCTCAAAAGTCATGTACTATTCAAAGGTTCTAGTAGGTGGGTATTACCACTCAATGCTGGGGAGTTTAGTGGCCATGAAAGGGACCCAGACTTTTCAACAGTCAGAAAGGTACAATAAATCCTAATATAAAAACACATCATAACACAAACTCAGGACTTGCAGCTAAAGTTCTGTCCCAGGTAGAGGTTTGTTGATAATGCCACTTTTTATCAGATTCCTGCCAGCAGGAAATGACTTGGGACACAAAGGTCATAATTGGGTCTGACTCTCGCTGTTCCAATTAGGAAAAAATTACAAAAATTATGGAAAATTTCATCCACCAAGAAACTGATGATTGCCTAACATATAGAATGGAATAATGTCTATCATAAGCTACCTGAAAGACGAAGATGTCTACTGTAAGAGAGCTTGCATTTCAGTTCAGGAAATTGCAATATATTTTCTTATCCTTATGATTATTTGTATTTCTTTTTCTGTAGTATTTATACCATTTTATATATAATTTCAGGCTTCCTCATACTATTCCTCTCAACACACTACCTCCAATGGCTTTTTTTTATAACAGCAACATTTCTCCAAATGTTTCTCAAAATTATCTTTATGGGCCTCCCTAGGGGCTTAGGGGTTCAGTCACAGCGCTATCACCACTAGGACCTGAGTTCGATCCCCAGCGAGGGAGCTAACCTACATATGGCTAACCCTCTCCTGTCTCACCCTTTGTTCCCGTTAGCGGTGAATTTCAGTAGATCCGCCTGTTCTGCTCCCCAATCTGTCTCTGGTGAATCCTCTCACCCCCTACACCTCTGGCCTATACCCACTTCTTTGATGCAAAAAAAAAAATTATCTTTATGAATGCAATACATATATATGAAAAATAATTCTATGTTCATGGCTGAGCCAACTTTTTTCCCATCTGACAACTCAAGGCAGTTATAGATTCTGCTTCTTTCTAAAGAAATTAGAAAGACTGGTATGGGCTTAGGGTAATCAGTCCTTTACAAACACCAGATCTAAATGTGCTGACAAATCACCCATTGGATTCTGACCCACAATTACAACACAAAAGAATTTCACATCTCAACTTGGTATTCAGAAGAGGGAAAAAATGACAGCAAATGATCAAAACTGACACACATTATTAAGGATTATTTACTCAGAATTTGGTAAAGCACTGCACTTCCATGTTCAAAACAGCACTATTTACAATAACCAAGATATAGAAACCTAAATGTCTCAGAACAGAGGAATGGATAAAGAAGATGAGGTATATCCAAACAGGGAAAGAAGAAGTAAAACTATCACTATTTGCAGATGATATTATAATATACATAGAGAACCCTAAAAGCTCCACAGAAAAACTAATCAAAACAATCAACCAGCTTAGAAAAGTAGCAGGATACAAAATCAATGCAGAAAAATCAGTAGCCTTCCTACATACAATCAAGAGACACCCCACTGCTTGGGAGAAATTTTTGCACTCCATACAACTGATAAGGGATTAATCACAAAGATATACAAAGTACACAAATGACTCAACAACAACAACAAAAAAAAGTAAACAATCCAGTCAAAAAATGGGCAGAAGAACTTCAAAGACATTTCTCCAAAGAGGAAATACAAATGGCCAACAGGCATATGAAAAAATGTTCAACATCCCTCATAATCAGGGAAATGTAAATCAAAACCACCATGAGATATCACCTTATACCAATAAGAATGGCACATATTAAAAAAAAACTGGCAACAACAAATGTTGATGAGGATGTGGTAAAAAAGGAACTCTCCTAAGTGTAAACTGGTCCAATCCCTATGGAAAGCTGTGTGGAGGTTCTTCAGACTACTGAAAATGGAGCTACCATATGACCCAGCATTTTACTCCTAGGAATCCAAACCAACGGACATAAAAACATTGATTCAAAAGACCATCTGTACCCCTATGTTTATTGCAGCACTATTTATAATAGGTAAAACCTGGAAACAACCCAAATGCCCCAAAATAGATGACTGGATCAAGAAAATGTTGTATATATACCCAATGGAATACTATTCAGCTATAATAAAGTAAAAATCAAAATCAACAAACAACTATAAACCAGAGACACACTACAGGGGAAGGGGAGAGGAGAGGAGGGAGTAGGGTCAAAATAAGGGAGTGTGTGAATTGTATGGGGATATAACCAAGATGAAAATGCATACAATGTGCAAAAATAAAAAATGATGTAAAAAATATATAAAATAAAAATGCATGGGGCCTCCCGTGGTGGCGCAGCAGTTGAGCACTGGGCTGCAAAGCTGCCCGCAGCCTTCTGTAGTGCCGGTTCCATCCCCAGCCGCCAGTGAGGGTCCCACATGGCGCGCAGACCTCTCCTGCCGCCCGCTGCTCCCCTCAGTAATGTATTTCGTCGTTCTGCCTGTTCTGTTGCCTGCTCTGGCTTTGGTGAATTCCCTCACCCTCCCGTGCTTCTGACTGTACCCAGTGCTTGTATAAATAAATAAATAAATAATTCTTTAAAAAAATGCATGGTACCCCCCCAGAAAAATAAACTCATGCCATTCACAGCAACATGGATGGAGCTAGAAGGGATTATGCTCAGTAAAATAAGTCAGAAGGAAAAAGAAAAATACTGGATGATTTCACCTATAGGAGGAATACAGGGAACAAAACAAGGCATTAGGGAAAAAAATAATATCAATAAAAACCCATAAAACAAGACAAAAATAAACAGACAGCTATAAATCAGAGCCATTCTGCAGGGGAGGAGGAGGGAGAGGGATGAAAGCAAGGGAGGGAAGAGCACAAGGGACTATGGTGATGGTACACAGGTGAACTGGTTGTAAAAATTCTATGGGGATGACACCTGAGAAAAGAAAGCAAACATTGTAAAAAAAGAAAAAAAAAGATGTAAAATATATATAAATAAATAAAAGACAAATAAATAAAAACTGGAAAAAAAGAAGAAAAAAAAGAAGATGAGGTATATACGCAATGGAATACTACTTAGCAGTCAAAAAGGATAAACACGTGTTGTTTGCGGCAACATGGACAGAACGGGAAGGGATTATACTAAGTGAAGTGAGCCAGAAAGAGAAAGATAAATGATGGATGTTTCACTTCTACGTGGAATACAGAGAAATGAAACAAAGGATCAGACAAACTATAAAACCTATTCCTGAAAGCTGACTGTACGGTGAAGAATATGTTGGCTTTTCTGCCCTCCCGCCATCAGGATAGATGATGGATCCTTGAGGTCCTGAATGCATGCCTGATGGCGGGCACCTGGAGTGGGGTGTGGGCATAGGTAGATGGGATTCACCTGGGCTAAGACTGGGCTTTTTAAGGGCGGCATCACGGGGACGCCAGCAGAAGCTGAGAGAGAAGCAAGAGAAGCAAGAGAAGCAGAGGCAGAGGCAGAGGCAGAGGCAGAGGCAGAGGCAGAGGCAGAGGCAGAGGCAGAGGCAGAGAGAAGGCCGGAGAGCCCAGACAGAATGAAGACTTGCTGGGGGCTGGGATGCCTGCCAGCCTTCCGGCCCCCCAGCACCCCTGCCTGCTGTGTATGGGGTAAATCCCAATAAAAGACCTGCAAAAAACCACAGAGGACTCTGACTCCTCCTTTACCTGGTCTGCTGGATCCTAAAAAACTTGCACTGTGTCCATTCCTGCCCTTTACACTGACCATAGATTTGAAGCATCTGGGTAGAGGGGGGAGAGGAAGAAGTGGGGAGAAAGTGGGGTGGGAGTAGGGTGGGGTGGAAACACAGTGGGCTACAGTGAAGGACTGTGGGTGCTTTGGTGAAAAGACAACTAAGGTGACCACACCTGAAGGTAGAAATCCTATACTGTGAAAAAATTTGCAAGGATGTAAAATAAGAGTACTTCATTTATATACACTTATATATATAAACATATATATATAAATTTTAAAAAACCTAAAAATAATAAAAAAGACACTGACAAATTATGCCTACAATTTATCTACAATAAAAGAAAGGTAAAAAAAAAGTTAGAGTGGTGCTTCTCCACTTCCAGTTTGGGATACTAATATTTTGAAATATGCTTCACTGGGTAATTGCTAACATGTAACTAAACTAAATTGTGTTCCTAATTGCTTACAGTGAGTCTCTAATTATTTAAATATCAATTCCCCCCTCCTCCCCACGCACATTACAAACAATTCCAGTGTATTCTATGATTTTGTCATTGGACCCCAAATCCTCACGTAGGATTGGGAGAGCACAATATCTTAGGACCTAAGCAAAACCTTCAGAAAGATAGCCCTTTGCCCACCACAGAGCGAAGGTCCCTGGTGTGGAAGAGCCTCCTGCCCCACTGGCCATCCTTGCCCCTCTGCATGCCAGAGCCGCTGCGGACAAGTCTGCACACTTCACAACCTCAATCTCTCCTTCCTCCAGGCAACACAACTAAAT